GACGCGCGCGTGAACACACCGGAGTTATTTTTATCGAATTAATTTATTTTGTTTCCACACAAACATTTTGACAGTTCTATTAATATCCTAATCATTCTACGACATAATGATTTTAATTCAATTATAATATTTATTTTTTGTTGTTTTTTTTTTTTCGTTAATGTTTCGAGCCCTTATGCTGCGCGTCCCGCAAAATTCAATGTGCCGATTAACGTTGAGCTATATGTTCAAAGCGAAAAACAAGTTTACGATATAAACTGATTTTCGGTGTATGGCCGATCGTGCGTAAAAAACAAAAAAATTGAAAAAGTGTAAGGGCGGTTCTGGTTAACAATGATGGTCGGATGAGATTTCCCACCGGATCGCTTGGCTCGACCGATGAATGGGCGGCCCATTTCGGTATGCATCGCGCACGTCGTTCGCTTAATAAGTTTTCCTTATCGATATGTGTCATCTACGGCGGGTAGTAGAAACCTGTCATTATCGGCGCGCTATCTTGGCCGATCGTTCTCGATTATTTTCGTGAAAAGTCGCCATCGATACGGTACGTGTGTGCGTACTCGTTACGCGGAACAGAATTAACGCAATGCGGTCTGACGTGTGTGTGTGTGTGTGTGTTTGTGCCTTGTCAGCCGCGCGCGCTTTCACCTGATTAGCGTTCTATCGGGGCGCCAAGCCATTTCCGGTTTGCTCTACGACGCTTGTTATACGAAACCGGTATCTTGCAATGTCGCTCTCGGAGATCGTAAACATCGTGTAATAATTATTCCGTTGATTAGTAAGAAAATAAAAAAAAACGGCGACAAATGCAACGAGATTTAGATCCGACCGCTTTTTGTGTGACACAAATAATAAAAATTATTTTAGAAAAATAGTTTACAATATATAGCAGTAAAGAATGAAAGTTTTGGAAACTTATCCAAATATAAACAATATAAAAAGACAACATAACATAAATTATTCCTACTACGCTTTTTAGTATTATATTTCGCGACTGCGGAAAAAAAAAAGTTTGTCGACAAGTATCAACTTTTGCTGTAACCAAAAATAAAGGGACAAATACGAGGGGACTGGGTGAGAAGAGAATCGAACAATTACGGTTGAATAAAATATCTCGACTGTCGCGCAGAAAGACTTTTCAACGAGCGCATAGAAAACACGCGAGCGCGCTCGGCCTTGATATCGAATCCATATTGATGGAGATTCGGTGCCACAGGGTGTGAGACAACGTGCCACGATTCGACCAGATTTGCATGCATTAACGCCACAAGCGAGACTGATTGACAATCCGTATGTCATTGTGACGTCAGTCAAATCGCCCGAGCGTCCTCCATCAATCGCAATCAATTAAGGTAACGATTGATTGTTACGCATTTGAACACGGGAAAGAGAATATCTGTGAACCGGTATTTATATGTGGAGCATAACGGAACACATTGCGAGATAACACGAAAGTGTCGAGGCGACGAAAAATGTTTCGAATGCGTTCTCCGCATTGTTATATAACTTTCCACATTATTATTATATGCGCAACTGTTGCTTTATTTGCTTTGTTGTGCGAATGTAATTAGAAAACTCGATATTTAAAAATTAAAATAGCGGAGAGTGATTTTTTTGAGATTTGCAAAAGATTTTTTTCACGTTCAAGTGATGAAGAAGATTTTACTGGTTTTTTTTATAATTGTAGTTTTTCTCATTTCTGTCTTTAAGAACAGTAGTCAAGTAGTTTATAATGCGTTCGGTAAAACGCCGTAACTTCAAATTTTTTTTGTTAATCACTTTGCACTTGATTGTGCATTTCGCGTTGCATTTTAACGCTCAAACGATTAGAACGATTTGAAATCTGCTCAGTTTGCCGTGGACGTGGATTAACTTTTATCGCGCGCGCTGATCAGTTTTGAAGGATTTTTTTTCTCGCGTAAAATTTCGCGTCCCTGCGGATAGGGCGCGTATACGGGCACGGGGGGATGCGAAACGATCGTCGTCGTGCGGGATCCGAAATGGAATCCATCAAATTGACGGAGGGAATGGCAGAGAGGTGCGTCACGGTACTGAGGGTCATCGCGCGACTGGTATAAACGCGTGGTGAAGGAGGAAGAGGAGGAGGAGGAGAAAGGTTACCGCGGCTGCAAGCGCGTGTGGAACGCACACGAGAGCTATGATCGATGCCCTGAAATTAAGGGCTCGCCCACTGAGCGAAATAAAGTTAGCCAATCGCGCCGGCGACCGGCCTGTTCGAACGTTATTGGCTGTGGCAGCGACGGGATGCGTTATTCGTCGCACACCGACCCGATGCCCGATTTTTTTTCACGCGTCCCTCCTACCCCTCTTCCCTGTTTTCGGGGTACGAGAGTTTCTGGATACCGGCAATTGGAGAAAGAGAGCGAGACACCAGAACGCGCGCGCGCGCGGTGCGGAGGAGACGCGCGGGTGGATTTTCGTAATTATGAAACGCCGCTAGCCCCCGGGGGATCCGTCAGTCGGCAGGGAAACCCGTGGAGCTGCCCGGCCACGACAATGCCATTTTAATTATGCATGTTAATTGGTTTCCGAGTCCGGCGTAATACCAGCTTCTCTAGGACTGTTCTCGCAATCCGCCTATCGTCGATCGATGCCGACGTGTTACGCGATCGATCGATCGAACCGATTATATGCGAAACTGTTGTTCACACATGCAGAAGAGACTTCTAAAACGTTTGCAACTTTTATGAATCTGCACTTATGTGTTTGATAGAACACGCGCGTAGTAGTCGGGCGTATATTTTTAGTAAAGTGGATATTAATATCGCGTGTTAATAAGAAATATAGAGAGAAAACCGTGGATGAAAGAAGTTTACAATATAAGGTGACTCTCGTGCGCGAAAAACGTCGCGATCCATATAGCGAATAATCCACCGAGTGTCTCAATTGGATTTAACAAAGAAAGTTTCAGTTGAATATTGCGCAGTCGAAAGAATGACAAAAAAAAAAAAAAAAAAAAAAAAAAAAAAAAAAAAAAAATGATCACGCTTAGAAGTGTGCACGGACGCTTTGTTTTTCTCTTCAATCAGGTATACCGAATTGATGGGGAGCGCGTTGTACTTTCTGCACAGCTGAGTGAGCATGTCACAATCGACCAGGACCGCCTCAATCAAAGTGGCATTGATACCCTTCGCCCACTCTCTCGATCAGGCCCTCGCGTTCTCCATTGTGGTTTTGTGCGAGACCGAAAATCTATTAGCCTGCCGATATATATATATATATATATACATATATATATATTTTCCCAGTGAACAACACATACAGGCGCATTTACCGATACGATGAGAAGAAAGAGCAGAAAGACATTGTGCAAACAGATATGCACGCGCGTTAGTCTCTCGCGAGATTATGTATAAAACTGATAATTAATAAATTAACCAGAAAATTACGATCTAACATGTCCTTGTAATTATATCATATCTATTGCCTAGAGTCTCAAATTTATCAATAAAAATTAGATAGTCGTAAAATATCTTGAATGTAAACAATGTAATTTCGCGAATAATAAATAAGAAAGTCGCAGAAGATTTAATCCCGTAATTTTGCGGAAGTTGTCCATTTGTTTTACTCTCGTTACGATCCGCCATGTCCGCGGAACGAACTCGAGGGTGGCGTTTGTCACGACACGCGACCGCATCGCGGCTGCATTCACGTTACAACGCGGTTGTTACGACATTATTCGAGTGCGTGCGTCGTGTCGTGTGCCGAACGAGCATTTTCGAGATTAATTCTTCTATCGTTTCGCCGATCGACCCAACCTACGAGATTGCATAGTCTTTCAGGAACGATAGCTATTGTTATAGTTTTTTTTTTTTTTTTTTTTTAACTCTCGCGCGATACGCATGAAATATACTTGACACGTAAGTAACATAATATAAACTCCGGGATCACGCAAGAATATTATCGCAAACTTGTCAAGTTCTTCAAACCTGAAAAGTTTAAAATGATATTAATCTGCGTATCTCTTGAAAAAAATCATATTACTTAAAGTCACTTTTTGTATTCGTTTCTGATTAATTTCGCTGTCAATTTCTCAGACTATCGGCAAATAAAACACAAACCTGTCGCACGCGCGCGACAGTATCGACGTTAAAAAACCCAACAGGTGTAAGCAGACGTCGACAGAACTTCGAAGACGTAGAAAAATAGTTACGCGCGCGCGAGCCTATCGAGCTTTACTTGTCACCGGCGCGTAACACATCCCTTCGAATACGGATGAAAGCTCGAAGCCGCCAACGTATCGGAAAGTTGAGCACCCCTGAGCGCAAGATGTCCTCCTGAAGACTATCTCGGCCGGAGTCCCGCGGGAAACCTCTTCCTTCCTGCCGTTCCTATCTCAGGACACTCTATAGCCTATTCAGATACCGGGCTCATCCTGCTACTCTCGTGTTAGCCACGCCACGGAAGAGAGACAGAGCGAAAGCACGCGGGGGAAGAAGAGGGAGCGTGTGTGCTAGGTGTATAAGGGAAGTCTACGTTACCATGGACGGAGCAGCAAGGTGGAGTACGGTATAAGTACGCCCGAGTATTCAAGTACTCTTCTATCCGGCGTGCCCCGCCGTGCCGTAGGAAACGTATTTTGCAAGCCTAAATGTCCTAGGAACCCGGTCGCGACGGCACACGAGGCACTATCTTATAGATAGATCCTTCGAGAAGGAGTTATCTGGACCCTTATTTCGCAGATCGTTGGGAACGACGATAGCATGGGCGACAGGATGGGACACGAGAGAAAGACAAAGAGAAAGAGAGAGACAGAGAGAGAGAGAGAGAGAGAGAAAGAGAGAGTGAGGGAGAGAGAGAGAGAGAGTCGTTTATGTCTTTGCGAAATTGACGCTTCTTGTCATTTACGTTCGCTCGTTGGTGCCAAGATTCCGCATTCGTGTGTGCATTTCGATATATCGGTCAACTACGTAATGGCGCGCGAGATAAATTCGCGCGGTTGTTCAACAAAAGCGAGATAACGATGGATTATCACTCACCGGTCGATGATGACAGGATCGCTGGGCGTTTCGTTTCTGTTGCCGCAGCTCTTCTTATCGCAGCATCGACTGTAAACAAAGAGTCCGTTTCGCTCGATTGCGTGCACGTTTTTTTTTTATAGCGAAAATTTATTTTCATAAAAAAAAAAGAAGGAACGTAAAAAAACAGAAGCTATATATGGAGAGTCAGAAGTTTCAAGTCCGCCTAAAAAATACCGAGACCCTTGGGATTCGGGAAGTAGGTAGCGGAAACTAGTGGTGGTGCGCTCCCGAAGTCCCATGGGTCACAATGAGTCAGCCACCCCCGGAGTACGACTACATCCCCGTATGCCTCGTTACGTTTATGCTATGCCACAAGGGTGGCTGCCTACGCAGAAAAGGGACACTTTTCTAAACGCAAATAACATAACGTTGAATCAACGCGTAAGATGACTTTAGACTAAAAAAAAAAAAAAATAAAAAGAAACGTGTCTTTTGATCTCGAAAAAAATTATAAACAAAGACATTAGAATTTTATTATATACGTGAATGTAAAGAATTAATTTCGTGTTCAGGTATATAGTGAAGACAAAGAGAGATCTGCGAGTTTTCTCATACCTGCACATGACTTCGTGCGTTAACAGAACGCGGCACATTTCCGGATTTTTGTCTTGTCCTTCGTACATGATCGCCTGCAACAGAAACACAAAGAGTAAGTGCAATATCGATGATGTTTTTCGATAAAGCGATAATCAATAAATAATCGGAGTTCAATCGTCCGCACACGCTGCGTTCTTGTGAATAATTTTTTTTATATCTGTAGTTAATTATATTTCGTTCTCCTAATGTTTTGCAATATTTAAAACAAAAAGCATTTAATCTCCTTTTATTTTACTTTCGGTACACGAAAACATAGTTTTGTTAGTATGCGAGATCTGGTTTGGAAAAAAAATGCGATAATTAGACGTAGACGTGGATTCGGGTAGGCGGTACTCCTCAGTTCGACGGATAATTCAACCGTCGATGGAAAATATGTAACGTATTAAGCAACCTCGTGTGCGCGGACGCGAGTTTGAGAAGGGGCTACTTTCCCCGCAGGACTACTAAGCCATGGGCGGCGCAAGCAAATCCGTTAAGCCTCCTTCACGACCGCGCGATTGATTTTTATTTAATGACAACACGTCGTTATCCTGTATTCGTGCACTTACCGGCGGGGACCTTCGCGCGGATTAACCGCGGAATAACAAAGCGCGAATAGATAGCGCTTGCTTTGATCTTTACATGAATAGCTTTTTCAAGACAGAAAAATCATTGATTTTTCTCAAACAACGAAATGAAAAACCTGTGACGCGTATGTTTTGAATAAATCAATTTTTTCACGATAAATAAAACGCAAGACAACAATTAGCATTTCGGATTAAGAAATCAAATATTGTTTTTTTTTTTTTTTTTTGTTCATGTAAACGATAGTATATTTTTTCTCGATTTTTGTCGAAGAATTGCAGCAAAACTGCGAGGAACAAACCGCGCACAACCGATTGCACGTGCGATTTCTACACAATTTCGTGGTTTGCATAACGACCTGAATCGCTGAAGTTCACGAAGAGGAGCGCGATAAAATGTAAATATCGTGAAATACAATATCCCAGGGAATTCGTCGAGTTGACGGCATCGCCGTCGTACCTGGCCGGCTAAACGTCGGTGTATGACGGTAATGGTATCAGACGCTCTTGATTCCGGCGTGTGTATAGGTGCGACTTCCAGAATGGCGTCAAATATTTATGCGAACAAAGTAACCGAATCGCAACGTAAACGAACCGTCCTTGGTTGTGTACATCGCGGTAAGGTAAATCAGAGAGAGGGATCCGGCGAAACGCGGAGATGTCAAGACAGCAAAATAGAGAGGAGAGAGTAAGAATAAATATGACAAAAAGATGAGCTTGAAGTATTGAGACACAACATACACACACACACACACAGAAAAAGTACAGTTCTCGGTATAAGAGCAAAGGAAAGAGTCATAGAACGTTACGTGCCGCTTGGCTATTACGAGTCTTAATAGTAAAGGGACATGCAAACTTATTTGTGCCAGAAATAATTAACATAAGTATGTACTTTGTACGTATTAACCTCTGTCGCGCGAGATAAAGCCAGCGCTTACTTACACCTTGACCAGTTAAAGTTTTCTTTGTATAACTTTCGGCAGTTCTTTGCAAAATATTCCTCGAATCACTTTGTGTGGCTGAACGTTTCGAACGTTCGTTGAGTAAAAAATTATTTCGCGCTTTCAGCGCCAATAATATTAAAAAAAAAAAAAAATACTCCTTTAGTACGTTATCTCTTATATATATTTTTTTGTTCGAGAAGGAAGAATAAATTGTTCAAGTGCATGAAAATAATTGTAGACTTTAAAACGTCTGACAAGATCTAAATATGCTCATCTCTTGTGTGTGCGAAATAATTGTCGGTTAAACACAAAGAGACAATTGGGTAGGTCATGTGCGTGCGACGTAACATACAGTATTATTTGCTTAACGACCATTATCCGGGGACTACGACGGGTTTTGTTTATTCTATGTATGTCTGCGATATGTGCGGACAATTTGTGCGAGCAATTATTATTTTTTATGACGCGATGCTGTCTCTTTCGGGAAACTATTCGTACGTTTTTCATGATTCTCAAAATTATTGACAACGCAACGAATACAAGAATAAAATAAAAAAGAAACTACATTTAACACATAAAAATAACGACGTACAAAAACAATTGGTGGAGATAAAGATTAGCGGATAAAGATAATACTACAAATGCATGGTATATGAAGTTTTAAATCAATGAAGATATGTAGATTCGGATATCGCATATCCACGTATGCTAGTCCCAAAAGGGCGCCACTGTCTTAGTTCGTTGGGTTCATCGGATATGGCGGAGGTTATGTCGCAGAATGTCTCAAGGGTGAATGCTTGAAGTAGGCGAAGGGTGGTCGCGCGGAGGTAACGACGTCAAACGGAGAGTCCTGGGGGTGCGACCAGTCAGTACGATCCCCTCGGGGGCCTTTCTTCCGTTGCTTTCTGGTCCCACCAGAAGGATGTTTGGGTCCCCGCCGCAATTTAATTCCCACGGGAATTACTTAGTGAGGACTTATAGCGGAGAGTCTTTCGGAATGTCCGATCATAATCAATTCATAATATTTCGTAATATCGCAACACACACGATGTTCAAAAAAAAAAAAAAAAATAAATATCCGCTTCCCTCAGCACCCGCTTTACTGCTCTCGTACCGTCGCCATCTTTTATCTCAAAGGAACACATCTTAGTCTTATTATCCATTTCGCACACACAAACTCTTCTTCACTGAGCGGTTTAGTCCGTTTGCTTAAAATTATTTTTATATTTAAAATTAAAACAAATAGTTTTTTATTTACTTTACAAAATGTATAATAAAAAAGATAATCTTTTTCATCTGTTACTGCGTCTTATGTTTAATGGATGCAATATCCACCGAAAAACAACAAACCAGCTCAGTGAAGAAAGACGCGTGCGCGATAATAAAATCCTAACGTCGTTCTCTTGGAACCCCCGCCCGAAGATGGTGGCGGTACACGAGGAGAAAAGCAAGTACTGAAGGGAGCAGATAAATTCGAAGATAGTCATTCAAATCTGCCGTAATGATTTCCATCCCGAATCGATTCCAAAAGTCTCCTGGGAATCCCCCCTCTATATCGGTCGAGCAACCCCCGCAGCTTCCCATACGCCGAACAACATGCACATACAACGTTACCCTCGCCCCCTGAAAGAATGTCCACCGCCTGAGGGGAACGGATTCGATCTCTCTTTCTCTTCTTATCTGTCGGGGATTAACTTATCTCCAACTTATTATTTCCTTAATCTATGGTTAAATACTCATATTTCAGTATTAGCTACGCGTAGTTTATGTCCACGAGCTGATGTCAGTTCAAAGGCCTGATGCCGCGAACGTCACGTCGAGTTTAGATCAAAGAACGCGCGAAGAGACTTTCGATCAAAAAACGAAGAGAGACGAAGAACAAATAAACTTTGTATAATCGAATGCGATTTCTGAGACAATTACAAACGGCGACAAGTTACGCAGAGGAAAAACACTACAACATTGTCCGACTCCATCTCCAATGTGTCGGACGGAGTTTAAAAAGGTTAGGTACAATTATTTCCTGTTGTTCATTCATTTAGAATAACGGCGCCCGTGCGCGTGGTTTTCTCCTCCGTACGCACGTCCTGTAAATGCTTTTTTTATCCCCGGAACTAATTACCATTTAGCATTTTTAATCCCGCGAAAAAGCGCATTCTGGTCCTCATTCGTTCCCCTTCCCCTCTACTCGCCATAGCCGGAAGTTCGTTCCCGAGCGCTTAAAAGCGTACGTTGTTAGCGCCATTCAGCGCCACGCTGCACAAAACTCGTTTCTTTCTCGGGAAGCAGCTCGTATTTTTCTGGAAATTTCACCGAGAAACGCACGCTTCTCAACATCATGCGCCTTTTTTTTTCCACCCCCTTCCCCCACCTTTTTTCTCTCTTTCCTCTCTCTCTGTCTCCCTCTTCCTTTCGCTCTTTCTCTCTCGTGTCTCTCGTTGCACAGGTACTTCACTTGGTGGAATTTCCACGAGGCGAACGTTGATATAGATACCCACCTTAGCAAGGAGCGAAGAAATTGAAGAAAAGCTTAAGGGTCGGGGGAGGAGGGAGGGCGATTCGCCACCGAGCTCAGCAGCCGACTCGATGTAGCCAATTATTGCGGATTTATAACCGAGCACCTGATTCGGTCTCGAGAAAAGTTGGCGCGTTTCCGAATCGCAATTTGCAAGCCGTAACTCGGCTTCGCTTGTGAGAAACTCGACGGCAAAGTGGAACAGATTTTGCACGAATATACTCGCGCAAACTTTTTGATGTGAAAATAATGAAGGCAATTTTAACAAGAGTATTTATACTGCTATACACGAAACAATTGTTACAATGTTCTTCAATTTGACGAGATAAAAGTAAATTTTACTATATTTTTTGATGCCGTATATATCACAGAACTATATCGTACACACACACACAGACGTAAAATGTGAAAAATGTTTAATCATCGAGTTTAAAGTCAACGAACTGAATCAACTGATACACAAGCGGTCCTTTTATCTTCCGCATTTTAATCCACGGATAAGCTCATCCGCGTTTGTCAATTTTCTAGAGTACAATAGATACACACACACACACACACACACAGAAGAAGAGAGAGAGAGAGAGAATCCAGGTCCGTCGACCTGGATTTGCTAAACACTTGGCGCAAGTTGTTGCATATAGCGACGCATACACCGACGCGACGCGGCGAATATACATTGATTCTCCTGTCTGTATCTCTTCCTTTCGCTTTGGCAGGACGGCGGAGACGCGTTCAATCGAAGCTTTGATGTATAAATTGCAGCTTTCTCGTTTTCGATCTTTTCCCCGTCTCTGTTCCCTCTCCCCAACTTTCGACTCCCTTTACCCAAGCATGATTCCACCAGTAGTAGCAAGGAGAATATCTCGGCATCTATCTATCACTTCCGTTTTTCTTTTCTTCATAGACAATCGTTTCCCGAACACTCTCGATCTCTTTTCTTCCTTCTCGTATTCTCAATTTACTTCTTTTCTTTCTTTGCGCTATATATATATATATATATTTTCACTTCCGTGAACCAGAGAGTAAATTACATGTGAAATTTGCGTTAAAGTATATTTTTGTTACGCAAGGTTCTGCGTTTAAAATATTTACGCGCACTTCGCAACATCGCGCTAAAAATTTATAAAATGAAAACGTGACGTTTTGCGAGCTGCTGAATAATTCGATCTTTTCTGAAATTAGTGCTTCGCATTATGTTTTTAATTCATGCGGTTCTTATTTCGCCAATTGCTTCGCAAGATAATGCACACATATCGATCTACTTCTATCCTTCTAACCATTCAACCCTATGACATCCGGGATCCGATTAATAAAAGGAATGGATCGCGAATTGAGGACCGGTCTCTGCCGGTGCAAGGCCACCGCGGCTTAGTAATTTAATCAGCTAAAACTAACATCAGCTCTGTTTCCCCAACCCTCCACGTCCTTCCGCCGCCGCTTCCTTCTTCTGTCTACTACTACCCTCTTCTTACCTCCGTAACCGACCAGCCCCAAGATGATTTAATTTGCTAAAATGGTGCTCGTATCTATAGGAACTTGTTAGAAGCTCGGGTCACGACACGAAACAAAATAAAATTTCAAGAAGTTCATATCTATTTTACACCGACGTGCAAACATTTGTCTCGCCCTTTGTAAATTAACAATGCTCTACAAACGTTTCGTCAAATTTTTATTTCTTATATATATTTTTATTTATTTAATTTTTTAGATCGATAAGGATGATGTATCGTCTCTGGATAGGTTTTATTTTTTTTGTAAACTTGTATACACAACCGAGCTTGAAGTCTAATTTAAATGTTGAAAATCGCCCATATCCGTCTGTTTATTTTTATCTGCACGTTTTCCCCAACTTTTACGATATGGCCTATTTCTTTATGTGTGTCGCGACATTTCGTAGGTGTGAAACACACCTTTCACAAAGGCGTCGCGGTCCAAAAGTTACCCCCTCGAAACCGACATAAAAGAACTTTATCGTGCTCGTGATCGCACACACAACGTATTTGCGTTTGCACGAAGGTTTGTGATCCTTCTTTGCGCCTTATCGGCGCGTCGGGATCTACGGCCCTGGGTAGTGCGGGATCACAACACGTGGTTCGCGGGCCGCGCGCAGAGTTCGCCACGTGGCGCAGATAACAGGATGGGACAGCCGCGCGCGCCTGCTTTCCCGGAGGGGTAAGAATCAACCCCCCGGAAAATTAAGTGCTTGTAGCCGAGATGATAACACCCCCCCGTTCACGTGCGCGCGCGTCGCTGCGACGATTTCGCACGAGTCCCGCCGCGTAAAAACGACAAGAGGGAGGCGGGCGCGCGAGAGATTGCTCGAAAACGAGATGATTGGTATGCTCTGCTGAATTGGCCTGATGTATTGCACGAGACGTTGCGCGTTAAAGCGAACGGGAGAATCGGGATTATCTCGCACATTACAAACGTAAACAAGAAAAAGAGAATTTTAGATTAAAACACAAATTATCAATCTGTATAATAAAATTATAAAAAAATTATGAATTGCTATCGTATAGAAAAAATAGTGTACACTCACTTGTTTCGTCGCGGAATCTATAAGCCTGACGTAGATGTCCTGTATTTGCCTGACACCTGGAAAAAAAAACAGATACACAAAAAGATATAGTACAATGTAATTTGACAAGATGTTCAGCGAATAATTTGAACGCGTCAACAATGGGTCGAAATAATTTGTTACGCAATCTCTTTCGCGGATTTCAAGAAAAAAGCGCCATCAAGAAACGTTTCGCGCAGGTATTTGCGACCCTCCCGTGCAAGAATACGACGAATACGGAAACGCGTTCAAATTCTGTCAAGCGGGTCTCCGCCGAAAGGATCCGCCTTTAAGAAAAAGCAGCATATTAAGGAGTATTTAAAGTCGCGACGAACGATACAAAGCGGCCTCGTTTTTATCTCGCGTTTACGTATGCACAATCTTCCTACTTCTTCATACCGATTCTGACCCGCTTTGAAGTGCGCCGACAAATGTTGCGCGCGAAACGCACGATAATACGGTAATTATTATCACGCTCTTTTGTCCTTTCCGAGATAGAAATTCGAACTTAAAGAACTTTGGCGATCGTCACGTATCCACGTACGCGCGGTGCGCTTTAAAGGTAAACACGATACCCAATTCGAGAAGATCAAAGACGTTCCTTTCCTTCCTCGGCGATGCCTCGATTAAAATAAACAAAACTGCAAGCAGATCTGCAAGCGCACGTACGTTTTGCAAATATGCTTGCTGGAAAAAAAGTAACTGGTTCTTTTCGCGCAAAAAGACGTCGCGAAAAATTGCTCGATATGTATCGACACGCCATTATCACGCGCTATCACAACTATATATATATATACACGTTTAGTTCGCCGCCGTGCGCGCATCTCGGCGTTACAAGTTTTCCAAACTGCTCCTTCCTGCCTTCCTGGGGGAGAACCGGGGTAATCCCGGAGTGTATTTCGGACAGACACCCCCGTGGCTTCCGGCTTCGCGTGCCCGGTAAGCCAAGTAATCCCGACATAAGACTCCCAGACCCGGCGGGCGCCCAGGCCCAGGCTCACGCCGCATAACGTTATTGCGGATTACGATACTCTGCTCGAAACTAGCTCACAAATTACCTCGAGAAACCGTCGCGGCTTTACCGGAAGTTACGTACGCAGTCGACCGGTTTACCGTATCCGTGGCCATGTCAGGATTTGCAAATACGGGTCGACGCTAAACTGACCGAATAACTGGGAAGCTTCCGCCTGGAATATTTGGCTTTTCCCATAGTTGCAAGAGTTCTATGTGTATAATCGCAAACGATCTACCGCACCGGAAGTATATCGTAGAAAGTACTCCGGTCTTTCTATATATAAATAGACGCATTGTGGTTTATAGTAAGTTGTAACGTTATACACCGCGAATCGTAACTTCAAGATAAAAGTTTTTGCAAATAAAACTTTACGCGCTCTCTCAGCGCGCGCGCACACACACACACAAACATTACTTCTCGGAAAACAAACAACAAAGGGCGCGTAGAAAGTGGAAGAGAGAAAAACGATTCGGTTTTTCGCCGCAAACCGATTCATTGTGCGTCGGTTAAGGGAACTTGGAATGTAATTATGAGCGCGCGGAATGTTGCGCGTCAAGCCGTTATCGCGACGCGGCGCGGCAATTCGCAAGCGACGCGACAATAAAGGCGAACGATGATGAAGAACGTACTGAATAAGAAAGAAAACTCGCGTGTCATGTCCCGCTGAGCGGAAGCAAATAAGTCTAGATCGGTTCGGCATTAGCATAACTAGGCGACCGGATATAGATAGGTGGCGAAAAACAAAAAAAGAAAAAAGAAACGATCGTTCGAAAAAGCAGACACCGCCCATTCGATCGTCGCGATCCTTGATCAGCGGCACTTTTATTATGCGCCGCGATATATTCTGTCGGATACGGACTCGTGTATTTCGTCTTCGTCTCTATCCTACCGAGCACGTTGTACGAATCACGTATCTTTCTTATCGCGCGTGCGTGCGTGCGTGCGTGCGTGCGTGCGGCGACCGCTCGGGAAACGTGCAAGAAAAAAGCGGACGACGAAGCGGACGAGAAAGGAGGAGAGCACGCGAAGATGCAAGAGAGGAGCGAGCGATGACAAAAAGGAGTAGGGCCCCGATATGGGCGAGTGCCCGTCGTCACTCGGACGGTAGAGAGAAACGCGCTCCTTATTTATTATTTAATTATAGATTTATTGCCTGGTCGAGCGATCGGTGACGCCATCACGTGCACGGGAGAACACCTGATGTGGATCTGCCGGAATAACGGCGGACTAGGAGAGACGGAGCATGTCCGCGCTCCAATTTGTCTCCTGGGCATAACAGTCGCGCGCGCGCAAAGTATTTCGTGCATGAAACTTTTATAAACGGACGATGCGATACACGACAGGCCCGATCTACGGCGCATAAATCAGAGTTTCCCTGATGTATCGATCGACCGTAAAGGAAATGAACTGCGAGTCTAGTGTTACTCTCGTGCGACAATGTATAAACTCCGTCATCCGTGTTCGATAATTGTAATTTTTTTTTTTAACAAGCGTTACGAGTTTCTTGCGGATAGCCAGTATTTAAATATAAATTAGTTTTCTTTCTTTAAATTAAAAAAAAAACAAAACAACACGATTCAGACTCACAAAAAACTACGAATAAAAAATTGTAAAAACAGCACTTAAACGTTGCGTGAGACAATTTCCCAATTTATCACATTTAAATTAATTTATCCTTAATTTTTTCCGTTCAAATTGTTTTTCTTTTTTTTTTTTTTTATAGTCGTCAATCAAGATACGCAAAGCCGCGATCGCCGACAAGCCGCGAGCGCGGACAAAATTGCATGACGATAAGGAAAGGCCAAGCGTATGTACAAATAGACGAGAGCGCGCGTTCTCCAATAGAGCAGATTCAGAAAACATGGGGCAGAAAACCGGTGACCGGCAAAAGAAGAAGGCGCGAGAGAGACGAAGAACCTACGGCCTGAGAGACGGTTCGGCGAGAGAGGTGCGCGCGTTGGTATTCCTTAGTTTGCAACAGTTAGTTGTTTCTTGTTCGCGATGTTGGCGACACGTTTTAGTGCCCATAGATGGGAGCGCGGTCCCTCAGTCGAGCAAGTCAACGCAAAAATCTTGCATTGATTGATCGGACCCCGGCGAAACGGAGACGGAGGTGGATATATTGTGGTGTATACAAACGTGCGCGCGGGAAAAATAAAGACGAGGAAAGGCAGAAGAGAGGCAAAAGAAAGAGAGACGTGGGGGTAGTTTCATGAGTTGGGGACGGAAGGGGAGAACGGATAAAGAACGAGGGATAAAGAGACGACCGCGGTTTGTTGACGTTACTCGTGGCGTATATGGAGCGAAAAATTGTCGGGGGGGAACTCGCGCGTGTGCAGCGCCTTGCGGCTTTTTAATATGTTCATAATGCGAACCCGCGGTTTTTGAGAGTCTTTGCTTTGTGGCACCGGACCACCTTCGAATCGCGCGCTCCCGCTTCTTCTGCTCTCTTTGCGCGCCCTGTCCGCGCGCGCTTCAATTCGCGCACTTTTTCAAGACGGAAGCTGAACTCTTTTTGCGTCGCGACCGGACCAATGACGTAAAATATGTCTCTGTTGCGCGCGGGTCTCGAATCACAGTCCCTGAACTTTTTTAGCGGCCCTAAGAGACCGGGTGTCCGCGTGGAATGTCGATGGCCCGTCATCGTCGCTGCGAACACGCTATTAACGCATCTCTCCCCTCCCGCAATAAACGCGCGGGATTATAGATCGCGATTCGAGATTCTGCCCGGGTCGTGACGTCTTCCTCCGAACGTGATTGCAACATTATTCGAGATGTGTCATTTCATTCACGCGTTTCTATAATTCCATCGGGATTAAAGCTGCGTATTTAACACAAATATGCAATTCGATAAATATCAAAATCGAGCGCCCTAAAAAACAAGTTGACAAATTGATCGCAATTTGTGGAAAATTAAAATTAACGCCGAAAAGTGAATGACGCTTAAGCGAGGATCAATTTTTCGCTTAAATTAATTTAAATGTTATGTAGAAAGAAGAAAAATAAATAAATAAAAAATATTTGAATTTATATATAGGTACTCACCATTGGAGTAAAGTAGATGCAGACTGTATTGAATGCCGTTGTTTGTTTTCTGACCTTCCGATTCCTGCAAAAGAAAACACAACGCAATATTACGTAACTTTGATTAAAAAAAAAAGTTTCGGAATATTTTCGAAATCATCACATCTAAAAAGATCTTGTCGTCAGATATACGAAGGCCTACGGTGGTTGTTGTTCGAACACGGTGTGTGTCTCACGTTCTTCGCTTTCCGTTCTATTTTAATTAAGTGCACCGTGACGCAACGCCTGTGTGTGCCCGGCCTGCTCCACCTCACGCTAATTATTAATTTCTTGATGCGCCGGTAAGAGCCATGCCATTACGTATGGCGTGCGATGCATAATTATCATCCTGCCCCGTTGACGAGTCATGCGTGCATCGTGCCATATGCTGCGACCGCGGTAATGCATTTTCAACTACCTACCCCCGGAACATCATGGTACACCCACGACCGCCCCGCCGCCGCACCACAACCACGACTTTTAGTCGCGCATAGTCGACCTTTCGACTCGAGGATAAACGTTGGAGAAGCTCGATCGATTTCTACGTCAAATTAACGTAATTACGCTCATAGATAGAACTTCGTTTTGTTCATTTATCTGCTAGTTTTCTAAGACATTTCATTAACGATCGTAATCTCCAGTTGTGCGCCTCTTGCTAATTTAATTAGTGCAATATCCAAGAGCCATTATATACTCTTGATTATAAA